GAAAACGTTTCTAGGGATTACCATGAATTATGTTTTGATATTGAATATCATTGTGCTTTGAATGTTCATGATCTCGAGTTTAAGTTTTCAATGCCTGAATTGTCTAGATCCCTTCTTGAAGAATCTTACCTAGGAGTTGTGCTTGATATTGATAAGATTTTGCATGAGACTGAGAACACCGAGGTAGATTATATGGATGGAGATGTTGTGCTATATGAGATTAATGGGGATGAAGTTGATTATTTTGTTAAAACTTCGTTTAAACCTAAAATTGACTTTATTTTCCCATTAGATGCATTTGATTCTCATTCTCATCCAACCATCAAAGAATATTTCAAAGTATATGCTCCACTTGTTGTAATTGTCTTTGATGTGTATTTTATCTCTTTACCATGCCCAACTTTGTGTTACTTGGCGGATGTATTTTCTTACACTGATAGGAGAAGGACAAAAGGTTCATTGGCTCAACCTTTTGATTCTTATGACTAATATTTTGCTATGGAGCGGTCAAGCTTAAAGACTTTAAACAAGCTCACTTGGGAGGAATTCCCATGTTTATCTTTGTAAATAGCTCTTTATCTCTTGTTATTTTTAATGTGTTTTTGTAGTGTCTGTGATTTTTAGGAATTAATCGAATTAGAGGGAATAGAGAAGGAGCAGACTCGATGTGCCCTACTCGACTACAAGTCGAGCTTGCCCCTTGGTGTCACTCCAAACCAAAACCGAAGCCCTACTCGACGTACCTGCTCGATGAGACGTCGAGTTAGCCCATGAAGCCCACCAGTACCAGGTCAATCACCTCCTTCTTCACCCATCCATGAGGTAACAACTCCAATTCACCATTGTATATACGACATTTCATTTTGTTTCTCTGTTGGTTTGCCCTGAGTACTCTCTTCCAAATGCTTGTTACACAGAGGACTGTGTAATTTAAGTTTGGGGGAGGGCTCAGGGAGTATTTGACATTGCGTTTTGTTTTCTTATTTCAAATTTTGCATCATTGCATCTAAGGCATAGAAAAACCATAAAAATTTGAAATTTTTCGAAAATGATTTCATAAAAACAGAGTGTTCATATAGCGTGCATTGTCATTTTAGGATTGTTTTAGTATGCTTTCACTTAGGGCTGTTGCATCATGCTTTTGCATTGGAGATTATGATGATTATAACCTTGTAAATATGCTTATTCACTAAGTAGAACTCAGTGCCCAGGTTGTTAGTTCTCTAATGCGTAATCGATTGAACTTGAAGTAAGACCGCACCATCTTTTGAATTCAATGCTTGATTTTCTTGTTCTTAGTCGAAGCTCGCTTTGATCTGATGCCATTCCCTATCAATTTGAACTTGAATTTTGACTTATAATTATCATGTTGTGCATTGTGCTATGAACTCATGGATACCTTAAAATACTTGGACTTTCTTTTACCTTTTGATCACTCTTGCTAGTCCAAGTAGCTGACTCCCATCTTTGGAGCAGTTATACCCCACCCTTAGCCTTAACCTTCTTTCAAGCCATTTATCATTTGTGTGTGACTGTGAGGCCTTATTTCGATTGAGCTTGGTAGAAAGTGTTAGGTCTGTAACGACAAGGATAGTATCTCATGTAGTTCTAGTTCACGTTATCTGGACTAGATAGGACTAGGTGGGTGCTTAATTCTGGGTTTGGGTTGTGTTTAAAAGAAAAGAAAAGGGAAAAGAGTTCTTAGGAGAAGTAGCTAAAGTAAGAGAAGTCTAGTAAAGGATTTGGGAATGTTAAAGGAAAGAAAAGGGTTCTGTAATAGCTTAAAGAGAAAGGGTAAAAAGCCTTATGTTATAAAAAGAAAGAAAAGGGAACCCTAGTTGTTAAAGTATCCTAATCCGCTAGACAGAGCAAAATAAGAAAGCTTCTCCAAGGATAGAAAAGCAAAGAAAAGAAAGGAATGGTGTGAGTAAAAGCTGTAAATGCTTTGAGTGCAAAAGGGTAGAGTTAAGTTCATGATTCTGGGATTAGAAATAGGACCTCCATTTGGGTTTATATTGGTTACATTCTGGGTAGATGGGGTCTTATCCTTGTATGCATAACTTGATACTCACCTTTAGCATTCTACTAAAGCTCAATCATTCTTGAGAGATCCCCTGTTGCGATTTAAACCAGATATTTAAGGGACCATCTTTGTCTCTAAACCTTTACCCTTAAGCCAAATGTGTTCTTATCCAATGCATAGTATGATTCACGGTTCCTACTTAATCAATGTTAAAGGGAATGTGCTGATTTGAATGCTTGAATTGATTAAGGCAGAAGTTAGGTTGAGATGTGAAGGAGATGGCTAATGTTTTTAAGTAGAGATCAGTCAACCTTGCATTTTAGAATTAGCAACCTGGACATTGAATTCACTTACTCTATATGCATGTTTTGGTTCTGAGTCTCCACTTTCAAACCTCTTCTCCAGCTTAGTTCTATTTGTTTGCTTGAGGGCAAGCAAGAGCTAAGTTTGGGGGAGTTGATGTCTCTATATTTTACCGCTTTTAAGCACACTTTTCTCGTGCATTTAGCTAAGTTTCATCTCTTTTTCATTGCATCCATAGTCCTTTTCATATCATTTTCATCACTTAGTACGATTTGCATTGCATGGCATAGAATATTGCATATTGGATGTGTTTCAGGTATTTGGAGCTTATTTGGGACTTAATGGATGCAAAGAAGAGAATTGATGATTCAGAGCCAGTCTGAAGTCCCTCAAAGATCGACTCAGATGGAAGTCTTGCATTGCGATTTAGCTTCAGAGCTCTTCATACAAGTTATAGGCAATTGAGTTACCTTTCCAACGGAGGTGATTTCAAGCGAATCAGAGCTTTGATGCAAGAGTTATGGTGGTTTATTTGGAGACATATGCAGAAAACTGGTTGGACTCGACAGGAGGTCGAGCAGGCGCTCAGAAACCACCAAGGGTTGGACTCGACCACACCAACTCGACGTGAGGTCGAGTAGGAGACCATCAAGGAGCACCCTTTGAAGAATCGCTCCCCCTCGACCACATGGACTCGACGACACGTCGAGTAGGACGTCAGGAAGCTGTCTGGACACGGACTCGACCACGCAGGCTCGACGTCACGTCGAGTTGGTCTCCGCCGACTCTCTATTTTGTCCTGTAGCCAATTAGGGCAACCTAGTATTTCCTATAAATAGGGGTACATGCTATTGTCCAGCGGATATTCCTTTTACCCAGCAGATATTCCGCTGTTCTCTCATAAAACCTTGTTTTTGTAATCGTTTTTCCTGTTGATCCTTTGAGTTTTTGCATTTCTTTTCTTCATCAAAGTTGTAGATCTGTCTCTTATCTATAACATACTTGCTTTTCAATGATTTCTGGGTTTGAAACGTTTTCTGGGTTTTTATGCATGATGTTCTTCAGTGTTCTTGAGTAGTGGATTAGGGTTCTTGAGGATGAGATAGATTAGGTGTGGAATCCTTAGTATATTTAGGTGGTTAAGTGTAGAATTGCTTGATTTCCCTTCTGGTTTAGTAGATCTTAATGCTGTTTCCTCTCTGATCAATTGGAAGTTGATCTCAGACATTTCCACACCCAAAAGGTGTTTGATGAAATGTCTGAACCAACTATTCCAGAGATTTGCATACTCTAGCCCAAGAGATTGGATGTTTAGAATGCTTATTGACTCTATTAGATTGAATCTTAATGCCTGCTAGGTTATATTTCTTCAATGAGAATTGAGTATGAAAGTGATTTAGTTTGAGAATCTCTGTCACGAGAGTGGATTGATTTGTATTCGAATCTATTGTCTAGGGATAGCTTGATTGAGTTTGTTAACCACCTAGGTAGACTAAGGAGACTGCCATAATCGATTACCCCATTCCTCAGGACCTTTTATCTCTATTGGTTGTTTAAATCTCGTTTCTGTTAGCTTTTGTGACCATCTCGACCTGTGAGGCCTAGATCGTTTCTCTGCATTGTTAGGTTGCTAGTTTCTTTTCCAAAGCTTATGCATGATAGTTTCTGGTCTTTAGTTTACTTCTTGCTCTTGTTTACTTGCTGTTTAGTTCTCTTTTTACGCTTTCGAATTCGGTATGTGCATGTTAAATTGGTTGCTTAGGATCAATAGAAACACACAAAACCTTTTCACAATTGGCTTGACTTATTTGCTTTCTGTTCCATATCTTGAATGCTTGCAGTCACACTGAGATTGGATTGATAACCTAATATACTACAATGGCATGTGTATTAGGGATTGATACCTGTTAGAGAGATAAAGCAAAATCTTACTATCAGCCGTCTCTCGCCAAAGGTGAACTCGTGCGGGTGAAGGCTAGTGAAACCGTGGCAAGGAATTGCCTCGTCTCTTCTTCATAAATCTCACGGCGAACGGACTCCATGAATCGGTGAAGTCCAAGTGCATTCAACATCGTCTTCAAGACCAGGTTCTTTAAGAGTCGAATAATCGATAAGAAAGGTTGGTGTAAGGTTGATCTTGTTGATAGACTCTCGGTAATCAACATCATCTCTCATCGGTTGACCAATAAACTTCATTGGTAACTCTTTTCTCACTACAAGAAAACACTTCATTTGCGACTGTGAAAATGGTCGCTAAACAGTCGCAAAAGAGAGTTTTGCAACTGAATAACGACTATTTCTATTAGTCGCAAAAAAACGGTCGCAAAATTTCCTTGTCTCATTATAGTCGCTAATTTGCGACTATTTGGCGACTATAAATATATCGTCGTAGATTAACGACTAATCTGTGACAGGTGACAATATAGTCCTTTATTAGTAATCTGTGACAGGTGAATATCGTTGCAAATTTGCAACTATTTAAGGACTCATTTATTATGGTGACAATATAGTCCTTTATTAGTAACCATTTTGATACGAGATTTAGAGTTATTTGTAAATTTGTTTAGTCACAGTCTGGTCACATTTGTTAATTGTTCTGGTCACAAACTAGTCAGAATTTCTGAAACTTTTTGGTCACAAAATGGTTACATCTTATTAGTCTGAAACCTGTCCATTTCAAAAGCAAATGCATTCAAAAACCATTCAAATATCAATCAAGTACCATTCCAAACCATTCAAAAACTATCCTAATCAAAGCATAACATATCCTAATAAGTTCACATACATAGACAAAAGGAAACTAAAATCAAGTTGAATGATTTGAGGCGGTGTTAGATAGAGAAGAGGTTGGTGTGGTTCCAGTGGTGTGTCCTGCTGGTTGGACTGCAGCTCACCATATTCTTCATCCGGCGTTGACAGATTTCCTCGAACCACCATTGAACTGTCCCTGTTATCAAGGGATCCCAGGTGTGGATTTTCTAGAACACAAAGACATGAAGACCAGAGTTTGTGAAACAACAAAAATAATCATTAGATGTGAAGGATATAGGACAGAATAATGTACCGCGAACTCGATGAAGTATCTTTCTTGTCTCTCACGCGGCACACAAGTCCAGCTATAGTAGGGACCATCGAATTTGTTTTTAAAATCTTTAGTAATCTTCCTAACCAGTCTTGATTTAACATCACGAGTAAACATGCACCACTTGTAAACAAGTAGAAAAGTTAATAGTATCAAATACTCAAAAACAAAGTAAACCAGAAGTACCTAAGACATTAAGCAAAGTGTCTACACTCTGACTTGGTAAAAACTTCTTTGAACAACTCAAATGCATGAAATGTATCATTGAACTAAGACAACATTGAAAGGCAAACCAGAAGCAACAAAAAAAGCTGGCCAATAATCACACACTCTAACATTGAAAAGCATACCAGAAGCAACAAAAAAAAAGCAAACCAGAAACAATTTATTACATACTTTCAATGTTAGAGTGTACTGATTAGCTACTGATCATGTCACAAGCAAAGCCATATATTAAAACATCAAACTAAGACAATAGAGAAAGAAGTGATACGTTTAGACATCAACCTATACTACAATCAGACATCAACCAATACTACAATCAAACATCAACCTATACTACAATCAGACATCAACCAATACTACAATCAAACATCAACCTATACTACAATCAGACATCAACCTATACTCAGACACTCTAACTATGAAAAGGAACACAATTGATACGTTTATCAATAGAGAAAGAATTCAGACCAAGTGGTGTTTTCTCTCGGTGTTGGAGAGAGGACCGTGGTAAACTGATCCCGGTCTGGCACCTGAAGCAGAGCATTCAGAGCCTGTAGTGTTTCTTCCTCTAGCTCCGGCAACATTGGAGAAAACTCCATGAAGTTATTTCCTTGAGAAGAATAAGGCTGACTATGACCCACACTCGGACCATCAGAGTTCAGATGTGAATGTGGAGACGGTGGAGCCTCATCTTCTGGCTGCGGTTGATGCGGAGTAGGTTGCTGTGGAGTCGGTTGACGGACTTCTTCCTATGCTTGACGCTGTCGCGGTTGAATCTGAGACTGAGAGTTCACGAACAGCTGTTGTGGGGGTGGATAGTCTCGGACATGTACTGTAGAGGTTGAATGTTGGGGAACAATGCGAGGCTGCTGTACAGGCGGCTGAACCCGAGGATCTGGGACCGCCGGCTGTGTGAAATCATATTGAGGAGGTAGAGTTGTGGGTCTTTTCGGAGCAATAGACGTATCAGGAGCTCTCTAAGAAGCGTTGGGAACATTTCTTGTCCTCCGTCCTTGATACTAGGTTTTTTGCTATCAATTTCCCTAATATACTTTCATGTCATTGCAGTATAAGAGGTTATCAATCCAATCAGGTGCTCTCACTATCAATCAAGATATGCTCAGAAACAACTAAGTCAAGCCAAGCAGAATAGAGGTTTGTTTATCTAACAATCCTAAGCGAACATGCATAAAAACGATAAAACGACAGAACAGGAACGATCATGCATAAAGAGAAAGAACTATCAATACTAAGCAGCAATAAGCAACAGGTAAAGAGACAAGTAAATCAAATGAGATAAAAGGTCCTGAGGATAGGGTAATTGATTATAGCAGTCTCCTTAATCTACTTAGGTGGTTAACAATCCAAACAGGCTATCCCTAGACAATAGATTCAACTACAGACCAATTCACTCTCATGACAGAGATCCTCAAGCAATACCAGTTCCAGACCTAATCATCATTAGCGAAATCTAGCAAAGCAGGCAATAAGATTCAATCTAATATAGTCAATAAACATTCTAAACATCCAATCTCTTGGGCTAGAGTATGTAAATCTCTGGAGTAGTTGGTTCAGACATTTCATCGAACACCTGGTGGGTGTGGAAATGTCTGGGTTCAAATCCCAGTTGATCAGAAAGGAATAAGCACTAAGTACTACTAATCCAGAAGGGATTCAAGCAATTCTACACTTAACCACCTAAATAAACTAAGGATTCCACACCTAATCTATCACATCCTCAAGAACCCTAATCCACTACTCAGACATGCTCAAGAACACAAACCCAGAAATTTGCACAAACCCAGAAATCGCTAAAAACATCATATGTTATATATCAAAGCAAGGTAAACAACTTTGCAGAAGGAAATTATTGCAAAAACTCAAAGGATCAAAAGTAATTTGGATTACAAAAGTTTGCAGAAATATTGTTTAGAGGATAAAAACGATATCCTTTGGGCAAAGCCCTAAGAGGTCTATTTATAGCAAAAGTAGAAAACCCTACTACGCAAAAAGACAAAATAGAAAGTCGGTTTAGGGTCTACTTGAGCTGGTACTCGAGTGGCTTGGTCGAGTAGTCCATTCTTCAAAGGTTGCATCTTGCTCGGGTAAGTCTCTCAGGTCCAGTTCGAGTAGCCTGTTCGAGTAGGTTGGTCGAGTATGTCTTGGTCTTCTCTTCAGAAATCTGCTCGAGTATGTCTCTCAGGTTCAGTTCGAGTAGCCTGTTCGAGTAGGTTCTCCTGCAGCTGCTTTGTATCTAAAAACACATGATACAACTCCAAAATGCAAGAATGTATGCAACAGAGATGTAGAATGATCCTAAATGCGTAAAGTGAAGCTAAATGATGCAAACTAAGAGTTAAAGACATGAAACAAGGATGAAACTAGACTAAATGAGATGTAAATGCATGGTAAAAACTAGTAAAATATAGACATATCAACTCCCCCAAACTTATTCTTTGCTTGCCCTCAAGCAAACAGTAAAGATCAAGCTGGAGGAGAGGTTTGAAAGAGGAGACTAAGAACCAAAACATGCATATAAAGTAAGTGAATTCAATGTCCAGGTTGCTAATTCTAGAATGCAAGGTTGACTGATCTCTACTTTAAAACTTTAGCCATCTCCTTCACATCTCAACCTAACTTCTGCCTTAATCAATTCAAGCAATCACCTCAGCACATTCCCTTTAACATTGATTAAGTGAGAACTGTGGATCATACAATGCAATGGATATGAACTCATTTGGTTTAAGGGTAGAGGTCAAGAGACAAAGATGGTCCCTTAAAGATCTGGTTTAAATCGTAACAGGGGATCTCTCAAGAATGATTGAGCTTTAGTAGAATGCTAAAGGTGAGTTCCAAGTTATGCATACAAGGATAAGACCCCATCTACCCAGAATGTAATCAATATCAATCCAAATGGAAGTCCTATTTCTAATCCCAAAACATGAACTTAACTCTACCCTTTTGCATTCAAAGCATTTCCAGACTCTTACTCAAATCATTCTTTTCTTTTCCTTGCTTTCTATCTTAGGAGAAGCTTTCTTTTTCTTTGCTCTGTCTAGCGGATTAGGATTTCTTTAACAACTAGGGTTCCTTTTTCTTTCTTCTTATAACACAAGGCTTTTTGGCCTTTCTCTTTAAGCTATTACAGAATCCTTTTCTTTACTTTAACACTCCCAAATCCTTTACTAGACTTTATTTTACTTTAGCTACTTCTCTTAAGGACTCATTTCCCTTTTCTTTTCTTTCAGTGATGAACACAACCTTTTCTTTCTTTTAAGCACAACCCAAACCCAGAATTAAGCACCCACCTAGTCCTATCTAGTCCAGATAACGTGAACTAGAACTACATGAGATACTATCCTTGTCGGTACAGACCTAACACTTTCTACCAAGCTCAATCGAAATAAGGCCTCACAGTCACACACAAATGATAAATGGTTTGAAAGAAGGTTAAGGTTTAGGGTAGGGAATAACTTCTCCAAAGATGGGAGTCAGCTACTTGGACTAGCAAGAGGGATCAAAAGGTAAAAGAAAGTCCAAGTATTTTAAGGTATCCATAAGTTCATAAAACAATGCACAGTATGATAATTTCAAGTCAAAATTCAGGTTCAAATTGATAGGGAAAGGCATCAGATCAAAGCGAGTTTCAACTAAGAACAAGAAAATCAAGCGTTGAATTCAAAAGATGGTGCGGTCTTACTTCAAGTTCAATCGATTATGCATTAGAGAACTAACAACCTGGGCACTGAGTTCTACTTAGTGAATAAGCATATTTACAAGGTTATAATCATTATAATCTCCAATGCAAATGCATGATGCAACAGCCCTAAGTGAAAGCATACTAAAACAATCCTAAAATGACAATGCAAGCTATATGAACACTCTGTTTTTGTGAAACAATTTTCGAAAATTTTCAAATTTTTATGGTTTTTCTATGCCTTAGATGCAATGATGCAAAATTTGAAATAAGAGCAAAACAAACGATGTCAAATACTCCCTGAGCCCTCCCCCAAACTTAAATTACACAGTCCTCTGTGTAACAAAAGCTTGGAAGAGAGTACTTAGGGCAAACCAACAGAGAAACAAAATGAAAGATGGTATAAAAAATGGTGTAGTGGAGTCCTTACCTGGCCTAGGTGAAGAAAGCAGAGACATAGTCATCCATGCTCTCACTCGTGTAGCTCCAAGGTACTAGCTGGGATGAGCTCGGAACAGTGTGATCTGGTTGTTACTCTGGTTGCTCGAATTGGTGCTCTGGTTGCTGCTCGAGTGGCTTGTTCGAGTACAGTACTCGAGTACTATACCGTTTCTGCAGAAAAATTTTCCTGAGCTTTTCCTGAACCAAAACCTTCTTCTTTTTGCCTGTAAATCAAAAATACTAAAGAAACACATTAAAAATAACAAGAAATAAAGCAATATTTACAGAGATAAACATGGGAATTCCTCCCAAGTGAGCTTGTTTTAAGTCTTTAGCTTGACTTTTCTTACTCCCTTTTAAGTGCTGAGAGGTTCCTGAAGATGAACTGTTGCTCCTTCAGGAATGATACTGTCTGCAAGATACTTCTTGAGTCTTTGGCCGTTCACTCTAAACTCTGAACCATCCTTAGCAAACAGTGATACTGTACCAAATGGTAGAACTTCTTTGATAGTGAAAGGACCGGACCATCTCGATTTGAGCTTTCCGGGAAATAACTTGAGTCTGGAGTTGAACAGTAAGACTTGGTCTCCAACCTTGAAGTCTTTTGGTGTAATCTTCTTGTCATGGAAAGCTTTTGTTCTCTCCTTATACACTTTTGAACTTTCATAAGCTTCCAGCCTTATTTCCTCGAGTTCGTGCAGATCAACCGATCTCTTCTCTTGAGCTTCTTTTATATCCAGATTCAGCAACTTGGTAGCCCAGATGGCCTTATACTCAACTTCAACCGGAAGGTGACATGACTTCCCATACAGCATCTGGAATGGAGTCCTTCCTATTGGTGTT